TTTGTCTATTAGAATTTATTCCTGGTGGTAAATTCACGAGTTGGGCCAATTATTTGAATAATAAATGAATTTTTTTTCGAAACGAGCGCTACTTTTTTGAATAAATATTGGCACCACTACTACCATGAATACCGCGCGGTATCCGGAATTCGTGTGAATAAAACATTATCATTATCTTTTGTTAACAAACTAGGCTTAAAATTATATTAGTTTGTCCGCTGTAAATTTTTAAATTTTTGCCATACGATGTACTGTGTAACAGAACTCTACCCGTGCCTTGGAAGATTGTATGTTACATCAACTTCCAACCACATATATATATGTATATAATGGCGAATTTGTATTAATATTGCAACAACCAAAATTATTCTTAAAAAATTTCTTCATTTATCCATTTATTAGCTTGATTAAATGAATTTCGGCTCGATTCAAGTAATCGTTTTTACAATTATGAGATCTTCTAAAGAGTAATAATTAATTAAATAAACTAGTAAACGCAAACAACTTTAATAATTTGTTTATAATGCATAGTTACCCGCTATTACACCAAAACCTACTATACAAAACTTTATAGGTAACATTTCTTGTCTTTTAAAAAGAATCTTTAATGTTTATATTTTGTTTAATAACTACTATATAAACTATAACTAAACTGAGTAATCTATAGATAGAGCATGTAATCCACAATCAGTAGAACCAGATTTGGCCTTAAATTTGGAAATAGCAGACTTGATTAATCAGAAAAAACAAAACTAGTAAGCTTCATTAAGTATTAATTCGTCAACCAATTAACCAACTAGATAGTTAGCTAGCCGTCAACTTACAATTGATGTTTATCTTTTTTTCCCCGATCAAAAAAATCATTCCTAAAAGTCCACGGGATGCCGCAATGCATATAGTCAGACTTGTGAATCATCGAAACCCGACTGTTGCATGGTTAGCTTTAACGGTATTTATAATTTATGTATTTATGTGAGATTGGTTTATTTATATCAATTGATACAACAATAACTATTTATTGTTACTGTTATTGTTAGCTCTTGGATATTTGTGTGAAGAATTGTGGATATCCTTTTCATCTACAGATAGCAACCAAAGAATTTCTGAATGAACTAGTTCGTAAATTTCCTGAAAAATCACCTGTAAGAAAAATTTTATTTATTTATTTATATATATCATCAATGTTGTAATTGAATTTTAAAACAATTCAACAAATTATTACTATCATCATCAGCAACCTCATTGGCGATTCTTTCTTTAATAGGCTATCC